CAATGCTCCAGTGGGATTCCTTCCTTCCCAGGTAATAATCCTCAGAGCTCGGGATGCTTCTCTGTTCTTAAGTTGAAAGGTGCATGTCTGTGTTTTAGATGGATTAGGGATCAGCTGGTTTTCCCTATAATAGGCAGTAAGAGCACCTAGAGCTTCGGAGAGCTTCTGTTCAACCGTCTCAAAGCTCCCTGCTTGAACAGTAATGGCACGATCATCAGCATAGATGAAGCTCTCTGTCCCTTCTGGCAGTGGCTGTTCATTTGTGTAGATGTTGAACATGGATGGAGCAAGCACGCTCCCCTGGGGCAGGCCGTTCTTCTGTTTCCGCCATCTGCTTCTCTGGCCCTGGAACTCAACATTCCCAGGTGTCAGATTGTTTTCCAAACCCAAATCCTGAGAGCTCACAGAAAGAGGGAGTGTACCATCATTGCTATGCCCAACAGGAATATTCTCATGAGAATCTGCCCTTTGCACTGGGGCCTCTCTGTCATTGTCTGCCTGAAAATCATTGACCAAATGGGCTCCATCTTGCAACTCAGCCTCGGCCCCATCATTTCCCTCATCATTTCCCACATCAGAAGCAGCATGATCTTAGAACACAAACACAGGCTGATTCCCAACAGCTTTCATGCATTGCTATCCTTCATTGGGGAAAGAATAGTTTTCAGTTCTCAGATCAAGCAACGTCGCAAATAGAGCAAGAAGCTCCTGCCTTGTTCCTCGTTTCAAGCCATGTCCTGGTCAAGTTTTGCTTCCAGTCTTGGGGATTTTACCATGGACTCAAGCTCATGTATTGTTCTTTGATTCTTGGACTACTCAAGTTGATGTTTTATTCCTTGTCTTTGGATTAATCAAACTCATGATTGTGCCCTGCACCTTGGATCAATGTTCATGCTTTAACCTTTGCATTGGAGATTTGTCTCTGGCTTTTGGGACTCCTTCTGTCTTACATATTTGGATTTTTTACTCTTTTACTGTGTGTGCTTTTGCAATAAACGGTTCATTACTACGCTTGTCTTCCTGGGGAGTGCTTGAGCAAGGGGAGCTCTAGCTGAGGTGCAACACCTGCTAAGACCCCAGATCTCTTTCTGGATTTTTTTCGGGTCAAACCCCACCCATCCTAGACCTCTTGTCTTTCATTGCTATTGCTGAACTCTACCAGTTTGCAAATTAGATTAAACCCTGCTTTTTTCTGCAGCTGCGAAGCCCAGAACCTTGTCCTGAAGGCGAGGGGAACGACGGTGTCAGATGTCATCTGTGGTGAGTGACCCACAACCAGGAGGGGAGAACCAAGGCAAAGTGAGGTGGGGGGGGGGTCATTGTTTGTTCAAGGAATAACCCCAATGATCTCTCTTCCCCACAGACACCCCGCCCCCTCCTGCCCAAAAGGACACAGAGAGGACCCACTTGTTGGCATTGCTCCCCGTGGCGGGCCTCCTTCTCCTGGGGGGCTTCTTGGCTGTCTGCTATTGGCTCCGAGGCAGGGGTAAGTCCTTGTTTGGGGTGCATGGGGTGCCACCGAATGCTGGGGGGGGGGCTTTGGCCTTGGGAGGGGGAGCAGCACCCTCAGTGCCGCCCAATGACCAACCCCATGTCTGCTGTTCCAACCTCAATGCCCAAGCGCCATTGGAAAGGGTCCAGATCCCAGCCTGATCGAGTTCCTTCCCAGGAGGAAGGCAGATTGGAGGGTCTTCTAGAGATCCGGAGGACTTGGGGCAGGTTCCTTGGGTTGTCCCCAAATTGGGTTGTGTTGTTTCCAGAGTCTTATCCTTTGGCTCTTCCTTGGCCTTTGGGTCAGTTAAGAGGTTGTCCCCAACCCTAACCCTCAGCTATGTTGTATCGGTTGAGGTTTGATGAGAGATTAATGAAAAAACTAGAGCTCTTCTTTGGCCTTTGGGTCAGTTAAGAGGTTGCCCCTCACCCTAACCTCTTTGGCCTTTGGGTCAGTTAAGAGGTTGCCCCTCACCCTAACCTTCACCTATGTTGCATCGGTTGAGGTTTGATGAGAGATTAATGAAAAATCTAGAGCAAAATATGCTGCTCCTGCTAGGGAGATGATGGGCCAAAACTCAGACAAGGAAGTTCAACAGGGACAAATGCAAGAGACTCCACTTAGGCAGAAAAAAGGAAATGCAAAGAGACAGAATGGGGGGGGGGGGGAATGATGCTTAGCTCAATAGCAGGGCGTGTGGAAAAGATAATGGAGTCCACGTGGGGAGGAAGGGGAACATGAGCCAGGAATGTCATGCAGCAGCAAAAAAAAAGCCAATGGGAATTTGGCCTGTATCAAGAGGAGCCTAGTGCCTAGATTTAGGGAAGTCATGCTACTCCCTATTCTATTCTGCCTTGGTCAGACCACACCTGGAATCACACTGCGTCCAATTCTGGGCATCACAATTGAAGGGAGATGTTGACAAGCTGGAATGTGTCCAGAGGAAGAAGGAGACTCACAGGATCCAGGGTCTGGAGAACAAGCCCTATGAGGAGCGGCTTAAGGAGCTGGGCATGTTTAGCCTGCAGAGGAGAAGGCGGAGAGAAGACATGATGAGAGCCATGTATAAATATGTGAGAGGAAGTCCTAGGAAGGAGGGAGCAAGCTTGTTTTCTGCTTCCCTGGAGAGAGACTAGGGCACAATAGAGCAATGGCTTCAAACTACAGGAAAGGAAGGAGATTCCACCTGAACATGAGGAAGAACTTCCTGACTGGGAGAGCTGTTCAGCAGTGGAACTCTCTGCCCCTTGTGGAGTGTGCTGGACGACTCCTTCCTTGGAGGCTTTGAAGCAGAGGCTGGATGTTGGGGATGCTTGGAGTGTGATTGTCCTGCTTCTTGGCAGAATTGGGTTGGACTGGATGATGGGCCACCAGGTCTCTTCCAACTCGAGGAGTCTATGAAACATCTCCTCATTGAGTCTCAACCAATTCAACACAGCTTGTGCCAGAAAAGCAAGGTTTCTGGAGTATAACAACTACCTTGAAAGTAAGGATTGCACAATTAAACAGGAAATAACACTTTCAGATCAGGAACCCATTTTATTTTTCAAACTAGCTGTCCCCTGCCATGTGTTGCTGTGGCGTAGTCTGTATATATGTTGTGTGTGTATGTATATGTGTATATATGTGTTTTCATAGATAGATAGATAGATAGACAGATAGACAGATAGACAGATAGACAGATAGATAGATAGATAAAAATTAATGTTCATTTGTGGGATTAACATAACTCAAACACCACTGTATGAATTGACACCAAATTTGGACACACTACACCTATCAGGCCAATGAGTGACCATCACCCCTAAAACACACACAAAAAACCAGCAGAACAGACTTAAACCCCCCCCCCCCAAATAAACTATATATACATATACACATACACTCATATACATATACACATGCGCACATACATACATACAGACAGACAGACACACAAATATATCAGTATCTATCTATGTACAGTATATATGCAAACGCATATATACACAAATATATAGATAGATGGGTGTATCGTGTGTGTATATATTGGTGTATTTCTGTTTTTATATGTGTATATGTATATTGTGTATATGTGTGTGCTTCTGTCTATATTTGTATGTATGTCTGTATGTATATGTGTGTGTATGCATGTGTATATGTAAATATATGTGTATGTACATGTATGTGTGCATGTGGATATTTGTGTGTGCTTGTGTATATATGTGTGTGTTGATTTCTATAAGAGGAGCATTGCTTGGGGCACAAAATGAGAATCATAGAATCATAGAATCAAAGAGTTGGAAGAGACCTCATGGGCCATCCAGTCCAACCCCCTTCTGCCAAGAAGCAGGAATATTGCATTCAAATCACCCCTGACAGATGGCCATCCAGCCTCTGCTTAAAAGCTTCCAAAGAAGGAGCCTCCACCTTTGGAAGCTTTTAAGCAGAGGCTGGAGGGTGATGCTCTGCAAAATAGGAGGCAAAAAGGGGGGGGGGGACCATTTGGAGATCCTCCCATTGAAGCCCTGGATTGACGGAGGCTTTCCCTTCTTCCGCATCAGGTCTCCAGAAGCAGCAGCAACATCAGCCACAGCAACACAACCAGGTAGGTGTTCCTTTGGGGCAGACCCCATAATATTGAGTTGTGGGAGGATGCCCACCTTCCTCTGCAGGACACAGCATGAGAACGGGACCCCAAGAGGCCATCTAGTCCATCCCCCCGCCCCTTAGTGGCCAGTGCAGGGGAGACCCACGTCCCTGCTGTGCAGGCTGTTCTGGAAGCAAGCAGGTCAAGGCACACCTTTGCCATCAGGTCTTGATGCCATCAGCTGCGCCCGTATCTTGGGAAGTCTGACTTGGCCACGGTGGTACACGCTCTGGTCACATCCCGTCTTGACTACTGCAACGCTCTCTACGTGGGGCTGCCCTTGAAGACGGCCCGGAAGCTTCAGCTAGTCCAGCGCGCGGCAGCCATGTTACTAACGGGAGCGGGACGCAGGGAGCACACAACGCCCTTGTTGTCCCAGCTCCACTGGCTGCCGATCTGCTACCGGGCCCAATTCAAGGTGCTGGTGTTATCCTACAAAGCCCTAAACGGTTCCGGCCCAAAATACCTTTCGGACCGCATCTCGGCCTATGAGCCCACGAGGGCCTTGAGATCATCCGGGGAGGCCCTTCTCTCGATCCCGCCCGCCTCACAGGCACGTCTGGCGGGGACGAGAGAGAGGGCCTTCTCAGTGGTGGCCCCCCGGCTGTGGAACACCCTCCCTGTTGACATCAGACAGGCGCCCTCCCTTATGGCTTTTCGTAAGGGCTTAAAAACGTGGCTATTCGAGAAGGCATTCAATTGAGACCCACACGAATCTGGTAATGACATTTGGAACGGACTATGGATTATGAGATTGGCTATGATTCTATGTTGTGATGGCGCGGATCTATTAGTGTGATTTAGATTAATGTGTAATTCGGTTGTTGTTATATTGTATGTTTTTGTAGACTGTTTTTACATGTTGTACACCGCCGCGAGTCGCCCCAGGGCTGAGAGCGGCGGTCAACAAATGAAGTAAATAAATAAATAAATAAATAAATAAATTGAAGGAGGAGGAGGGGGAAGTTGCCGGTGGCAGGCTGGGTCAGGTGCTTAGCTCTTACGTGGGAGTTTAATTGTATTTTTAAATATAGTTTAACTCTGTAGTCATGACACAAATAATTAATTTTAAATAAAAATAGCAACTTCATTTTTTTTTAAAATGGTAGTGGGTTTGTGTTGTGTCATGATATTATTTATTTATTTATTTGGTAGTTTTGTATCCCGGTCTTCTCACCTCCATTCGAGGGACTCGGGCCGGTTTCCAACATCAGTATTACAGACCGTCATTAAAACATCCTATTTCTAAATCACACTCAAACATTAAAACATTGAAACAATTAAAATGGCAAAAATACAATCATATGATTACAGTGGTCAGTCGTCATCAAAGTCATTATTCGTCGTCATCCATCCATATCACAGGGTCATGGCTCATTCGTTGAATGCCAATCCCCAAAGCCAGGTTTTCACCTGTTTCCTGAACGTTAAGATCGAAGGGGCAGTTCTGATCTCCAGTGGAAGGGAGTTCCAGAGTCGAGGGGCCACCACCGAGAAGGCCCTGTCTCTTGTCCCCACCAGCCGCGCCTGTGAAGCTGGTGGGATCGAGAGCAGGGCCCCTCCAGACGATCTTAGCAATCTTGATGGCTCATGGGGGAGGATACGTTAGTCAACATGAGTCCTTATGGGAAGAAAGGCAGGATAGATATAAAGATGATGATGGTGATGATGATGAGCTGCCTTGAGTCCCTATGGGGAGAAAGGTGTGCTAGAAATAAAGATGATGATGATGACGACAACGATGACAAGAGCAACAACAATCCTTGAGTCCCTAAGGGGAGAAAAGTGGGGTAGAAATGATGATGATAATGATGAAAAACATCATCGTCATCATCCTTGAGTCCCAACGGAGAGAAAGGTGAGATAGAAATGATGATGAAGTAAGCCGCCCCGAGTCCCTGTTGGGAGAGATGGTGGCAGGGTATAAATAAAGATGATGATGATTATTTTTATTATTCTTATTATGAGCTGCCTTGAGTCCCTATGGGGAGAAAGGTGTGCTGGAAATATGATGATGATGATGATGATGATGATGATGATGATGATGACGATGATGACAACAACGACAATAACAATAATAATCCTTGAGTCCCTCAGGGGAGAAAAATGGGATAGAAGTAATGATGAAGATGGAGATAATAATAATAATAATAATCAACATCAACATCATCCTTAAATC